TCTCCACTCCACTATACTGAATCAATTTCAACGAGCAATGTTCGGCCTTTATGGACAACATATAAACAAAAATTCAGAGGGAGTGAATAAAGATTAGGAGCAAGAAGAGGGTGGACATGACCAAAAGTAAAATCTTACCGCCGCCGATGATCAGTGGTGATGGAGAAGGTGGGGAAGTTGGCTGCGTTAACAGTGATGGTTCTGTTGAATGAGGGTCTGAGGAGTTGCAATTTTTTTAAATCTTCCTAGTCCGCACGAACGGAGGGAGTTACCAGTGTTCTCTTTCAGTTGTAGGGTATAAGTGTTATATTTGCTACAAGTGTTGTATTTGCTATAACACTTTTAAAGAAAAGTGTTATCTTTTGTTCTCATCGTATAGCGCTTGGTAAAACGAGTGTCATCTGTGTGTTCCTTTCTCTTAGCATAGCACTTTCTTAAAAGAACGTTATATAAGAAGTGTTATCTGAATCAATTTTTGTTGTAGTGCTCGCGAGCTTGCTTGAACGACCAACATCGAGCTGTCGAGGTCGTCCAGGCGCCACGGCTCGCAGCGACCAGCTTGCGACATTCTCGAGAGCTCTCAGGAGCCGGCTTAGCGCTCAGGCGCAGGGAGAACGTGCTTGGCGAGACAGAGCAGGGCCTCGCGCGACGTCCCACTGCTGGCCCATGCAGACGCACTGTCGCGCCTGTGCTGCAGTGACGAATGTAGATAAATGAGAGCTGACGAGTTATATGGTGGTTTAATTCCATCTATTTATTTTGTATGTACTTACAATAACTAAATTATTTTACTTTTTTTTGTTCAAATTATGTTTTCATGCATCCGGTAGTGCACGGGTGTCGTACTAGTTCCTTAGTAAATCAGATATCACTGCGTGACATCTTAAAGGCGAACTATCTCCAACGTATTACACACACATTTATTTCTTAATTTGATAAGTCGTTATTAGTAGAGTTTGAAATAACATAAATGGAAAACATCTTTGGTGACAATGCACAACACAAACACACATAAAAAGGAAGAAATTCAGAAGACAGTAAATAATCATCATAGCCAATCAAAGGCTAACATACACACAGAGTAGTCCTTGTCTCTTGCTAGGCCTCAGGATTAGCCAGGAGATAACCCTCAATGGCCTTGAACATCATCACGGCCTTATTCTCCCCCACCTTAATCTTCTCCTCGTCAAGCTCCACGCCCTCCTTCCCGTGATAAGTGCCCGCGATCTTGCAAATGCACCCACCGTCTTCTTTCGGGACGACCTCAACACGATACGCGATCGACTCAAGCATGCCGCCCAACGCATCCCCACCGATGATGCTATAGCCGTAGCTCAAATTGTCCCCGTCGATAGCATCTACACGGTGCCTCACGCTCTTGAACGGGTCGTTTTCCCCGAAATGAATCACTTTGGTGGTCCCCACACCACCGTCACCTTCCAAGATCTCGACGCTTTTGATGGCCTCGGGCATGATTTTCGGAATGAGGGTGTCCGCATCAACTACGCCAGCCTTGAACATCTTCGCGGCCGGGATTCGAGAGACGATTTCGGTTTCGTAGGTGAAGGCACCCATGGATATATTTGTATCAATATTTAAAATTTAAAATTGATGGGAAATTATGTAAGTTTGGGTGGTATTTATAGTGTGATCATATAATTTTACTCGTTTTCTCAAGGTGCGACTTGGTGCGAGGCATCAATTATTTGCCAATTTTAGTTAATATATAGTATGTGGTTGCAGTCCGAATCTGCTGAATACCACAATTAAATAATAGTTTCCATTTTTATATATCAACTGTCTATGAAGCATCCTACTTATAGATTAATGACATGAGTATTTTCTTTTAATTAGTGTGCAATGCGTGGCCATTGACTTGGTAATCAATTTATGGTAGCCTCATATCACTGCAGCTAGAGATGTTAAACGGGCTAGCCTTAGCGGTTTCGGGCTAGCCCTAGCGGACTTTGAGTTAAACGGTCCAGGCCTAAAAAGTCCGGACTTAAACGGGCTATAAAAAAAGGGACTTAATCCTAACCCTAGCGGGCTTCGGGCTAAACGGGCTATGTGGGCTATAATAATAATAATAATAATAATAATAATAATAATAATAATAATAACAATAAAAGAATAATAATAAATAAAAAGAGTAAAAAATATATAAAAATAAAAATAAAAACGGCCAGTTAAAAATTGTTTTTAACGGCTATTTAGTATTTACCGTCTATCACTATGTTTCATGTGTTTTTTATTAGTCTATCTGATTGGCTTAAATATTTTCGTAAGAAGTACAATAACAATATTATTAATAATTTTCTTTCAAAATCATAATAATTCATTACAACTCATACTTATATGTGAAGTGAAATACCAAAATTGTAATATACAAGTAATTTAAGAGCATATTACTTACTTGATACAAACATTTACACCGCTCAATCCTAGTTAAACGGGCCAGCCCTAGCGAGTTCGGGCTAGCCCTAGTGGGCTTCGGGCTAAACGGTTCGGGCCTAAAAAGCCCTTATTTAAATGGGCTACTAATAAAAGGACCTAACCCTGTTTTTTTTCCGAGCTAAACGGGTCGGCCCATCAGGCCAAGGACCATTTAACATCTCTAACTGCAACTTCTACTACCCAAATCCGTTGAACCAGTCCGCAAAGTGTTTGAACAAGCGAGAAAAATAACTTGTTGATATCTTTTTAATATAATTAGCAAAGTACACATACGATGCACGCGTTACACAATTTATAATTTAATTTGAGTTTAAATTATATTTTCTCTTTTATATTAATATGGTCTATTCAATGTTTTGATTTATTATTTTTCATTAATCAAACAAAAGAAATACATTACATAATGATTTGTGTCAAGTATATTGAAAGCTAAAATACAATTTGAAAAAAATAATATTTAATTTTGAAAAAAAATTACAGCCGCAATTTTTGAATTTGAATTGAACAAAACGTGCATGGTGTTTTTGAATTTTTAAATGCATACAATTCGATATATAGCTGATTTTGAAGTCGAGATTTTTAAGGAATGGATTGTCAATAATTCCGTCCAAAAATGTTGGTAAATCGCTCCAAATTTTTTGAAAAAATATTCACGTACAACCACAATTTTTGAATTTGAATTGAACAAAACCCAATTTTGGTGGGAGCGTTAAATGCTGCCCAATTTTGTTCAAAATAAAAAAAAAAAAATTTAAATAAAGTTTCTCGTATTAGCATGCATTTAATTTTTGCTTACTGTTTTTGTTATTTTGTCATAAGGATCATTATGAGAAAAAAGATAGTAAAAAAGATAAGAATGATTTAATTATAGACTATTGGATCTAATTTATCAATGATCATGATAAAGTAAAAATATACTAATAACAGTCAAACATGTAATGACAATAAGGTAAAAAAGTTAACATATTGTGGTCAAACATTAACATTTGACCACTTATTAGGGATAAAATTGTAATTAAAAATAATAGCACCAATAGTGGGACCCAATTATATTAATTATTATATACGCAATACACCCATCACCCCACCCACCCTACATGCCCGTCTCTCACACACACACACTTCACAAATCACACGCACTAAACACACAATTTTCACACACAGAGCTGCGCCACCGGATCGACGGCCAACGCCGCCTGTCGGACTCGACACCAGATGACACATGTTGCCGCCAGACGTTGCATTCTCCTCCATCAACGACGACGCCGTCTATCTCCTGTTCCTGCCGCCACCGGCAAAGTTTCAGTCCGCCACTTCAAGGAGGCGAGCTCCTCAATCGTTTTTCCGTTCGCCGGTCAGTTGCCAGTGAACGTCAACGGCGTACTTCACCGACCAACTTCGGCAGCGGACATCACTGTGGGTTGGCAGCAAGTGGTGGAGGCTCAGGTTTTGGGATGTGTTCTTGAGAATTTGATTAGATGTAAAGACTTGATTACAGTTATACAAACATCTAATATAATACAATTGAGGACATGGGTTAAATGCGTAATTAATAAAAGTATAGTTATTATTTTTTATATGTACTTATTGTTATTAATATATATAAAATAATAATATTATGTTTTATATACTTTTTTCGGTTCGATGATTTATAAATCTTAAAAATCAAAGTCGGCATGAAATAACTATGTTTTTAAGAATAAATACAAATAATAGAACCGAAATATAAAATCTCGAACCGAAGATTTTAGTCTGGTCGATATTGTAATCTGATAGTCATTAATATGCATTTTGTATAACCATAATGTTAACAAATAAAAAATAATTATATTCTTTGATTATACCCGCATGAGCCACCGAAGTAATTGTACATTAATTTAAATAAACAAAATAATTTATAATTTATATTATAAAATATATTTAGTGCTTTGATATTTTTATTTAATAGTTTTTTTGGGTTCAAAAGTCATAATATATATATATATATATATATATATATATACTATTTTTTATATAGTCGTTGATTATTAAAAACAAAAAAAATCAAAATCGAATCAATTTTTTCAGAAGTAAATAATTAATGAACAATGAACCTACATATATAAACCGTATAAAAAAAAATATATTTCGGTTCATTTCATTCGGTACATACGCTAACGTACAATATTACAGACACAAAATGCATTATGACTATCATTAATATGCACGTTTATTGGCCGCTTCTGTGCAATGTGAAAGGACCAAACTTTCGTCCCAACCAAATTGAAACCAAACACTAACGTGTATTTCATTTAAAAAAAAAATAATATGTATGTTAATTAAAATTACTGTACACTTATCAAATTATTTGTATAATAAAATATATTCAGTATTTATAATTTTTGTATTTAATATTTTATTTTAGTAATTTAATTATCATTTACCGTGCATTTGTTATGCTAAAGTGCAATCTTATTGACAAAAAAATACAACTCGTCAGTCAATAATATGCAATATGTTCAATAATATTTTAATAGTCTATCTTATTTTTATTTAATAATTTTTATTTATTATTTCATGTATCTAAAAGATAAATGAATGTAATATCCTTTTATATATTTTTAAAAATTACAGATTTGACCCATAGGTTAAATTGAGATATAACTAAAATTATTAAATTTACAACTAGGCCCCTAAATATAATCTAATATCACAATAAACCCCCCAATATCACATCACCTGAAACTGAGTATTCAGTCGCCGCTTTTACTCCCGTCGGCAATGACGCGAGCTTCCAACGGAGGCAGACCATCCGGCGAGGGCCCCATTCGAAGCTTTCCACCCAAGTCGCCGGCTGAATGTCTTCGGCGACTACAACAAAGACGGCGGGAGTCGTCCCAGTCACCTCATCCAACATCTCTGACCCACGCCTCCCCAACGACTCCACCGTCTGAGTCGCCTCCTCCAGCATCTCTGTGACGTACGGGGTCCATTTGGCGTCTCCATGGCCGGCCTCGTCTTCAACAACCACATCACCCGTATCGATTCCGGCGAGGATAAGGAGGTCGAGGGAGACGACTGGCGACGAATTTCAACCGGCGAGTCGATGTTGTTGTCTTCTCTGGTAGATGTTCACTACGACGAACTCCATGTGTGTAGTCCAACGGTCGCCGAAAGCCGTCAAGTGAGAGCGGTGGTCAGCGGCGCTGTGGGTAGGAACTGGGATGGAGGTTTGTCGGATCTGGCGTGGAGGTCGGGCGCTGCGGCGTGGAGGTCGGGCGGTTTCGCGTTACTCTATGTGTGTGTGTGTGTGTGTGTGTGTGTGTGTAAATTAATTGTGTTGTGCATGTGTGATATTGTATGTGTATGTGTGTGTGACGTGTGTGTGCGTGTGTTAGGTGTGTGGGTGCGTGTTAAAAGTTGGTGACGTGGCGGAGAGAGAGAAGAGAGAAATGAGTTGTGGTAGGTGACGTGGCGGCTGGTAGTGGTGTTGCATGGGTCCCACTATTTGTATGTAGAAAAATTAGTCACTATTACGGTCGTGGATGGAAGAGCGGAGAGAGGGAAGAGAGAAATGAGTTGTGGTAGGTGACGGGCGGCTGGTAGTGGTGTGGCATGGATCCCACTATTTGTATGTGAAAAATTACCACATTACCCTTAATAAAGATATAATTTTAATTTTTGTAGCCACTAGATCATGCGATCTAATATATATATATATATATATATAGGTTCAAGTGAAAAATGTACTCAGTGAAAGAAATAAGAATGCATTGTAGCCATTAGATCGTATTATACTAGTACAATACTCGTGTATTACACGGGTGTTTGTTAATAAATTTATGTAAAATAAAAAAATAATAAAATATTTTAATTTTTAAATACTTTTTTTGTATAATTATATAACTATTTTTATTTAAGATAACAGCCATCACTTATATGACTTACCGTCTTATATTATTATATTTGTCTTTAAATTATATCATTTAATAAATTTGTAGTTAAATTGATTTAAATAATTACATTTTTTAATTAATATTAATAGGTAATTTTTTTCTTATAATGATAAGTATAATTAATTATTTATTTTGTATGTACAATATAGATGTCAAATCAAAACTCATCAAAGCATGATTAATCTGATGTATTTTATATAGAAAAATAATAATAAATAAAAAAATTATTAACTTATAAAGATACTTATAATTTAAGTTAGTAATATTTTTCATATTATTAAGAGAAAGATGAGGAAAACAATTTATGCCTTATAAATCACGCCTAGAATATGAAATGTAATATTAATCTATATCTATATCTATATTGGGCCATGCTACATGTACAACTAGTGTTGACAACATTAGTTGACAACACTAGTTATCACAATCATTGAACAAATCTTAACCACACATTTTTTTGGATCTCAATTATCTACATGATGACACATCATGTTGTACAAAATAATTGTACAAGTAGCTTTATTCATCTATATCTATATCTATATCTATATCTATATCTATAGTAATATAAAGAGGTTGTTGGAAAAATACAAAAATAGTAAGGTTGACTATAAAAAATAATGCTTTGACTTACTACTTTAAGTAATAGTTACTACTTTAAGAAATAAACATGGACACCAAAAAAATAACAAAAAAAAAAAAAGAATAAACATGGATGTCCCACATGTAAAATTAATTATCACAAAATTAAGGAATAAAATAAATTCATGCGTTAATATTTTGTTCAGATTTTGTTAACAAATGAGCATTAATTGCAAAATCAGTTTTGATTTTATTCTCTCCATTAAAACTGGAATATTTGTTAAATTTTTGTTCATATTTTGTTAACAAATGAGGATTAATTGCAACATCAGTTTAGATTTTATTCAATCCAATAAAACCGGAATCTGTACATTATTTTCCAATCAATTATCTCATGCGTTAAAAATTGAAAATTAGTAATCAAAGTGTATCTCCTCAAAAGTGGTTCTAATTTTTTTTAACAACTTTCAGCGAATACTTTGCAAACAAAGTTTACGATTTCTTAACCAATATAAGCGGATTATGTGATACTTTATAAAGTGAAACAAAATATGAAAATAGGAATAATTGCCGTGTAAATGAGAATTATTGCCGTTGTAAATGTGAAAATTACTCCAAAACTACATTTATCATCTAGAAATAAATTTTTACAATTTCTAAGTTTGATGTTCCATTAAAAAAATAGTATAATTGTTTGTTCAAGTAAATAACTAAGTTTATATTTAATTGTTCACTGGTACTTACATGCTAACACTCATGGCTGTGAAATAATTTTGTTAAATCCTACGTGGATAATTCAAATAACAAAAAACTAATTATGTGTAGAAAGCATTAAAAAAATATAATGATCGTTATAGATAGTATATGTAACTATGGTATTCATTATTGTGAAAAACATTTTTTGTTAAAAAAACAATATTTTATATTCACAATCAGTAATATGTTATTTTTAGAATCACCGATTCCAACTGTTTGATGATTCTTATTTATAACATCATAATGAATACAATTCATCGATTACTAAGATTATATTCAAGAGAATATCTAAATATATTAAATAAAATATTATCATACTTTTTATTAACTCTATACATGTTTTATGTATATTAAATTAAATTCACCCAAATTATTTTTAACGCCAGGCCGCGCAACGCGCGGGTCGCGTACTAGTCTATATAAAAAGGTTGTTGGAAAAATACCTTTATAGTAAGTTTGTCTAAAAAATAAATGGTTTGACTTACTATTAGTGGAAATTTCAAAAAAAAAAAAAACACATGTGAATTTTTTAGTAACAAATCTAAATCTCATTTTTCTTAACAAATTTGGAGATTCTTAATTTATGCCAAAATTTGAATCCCATTTTTTTCGTATCCTTTTTTATTTTGTTACCAAAATCTGAATCCTATTTTTTTGTAACATATTTGGGAGATTCTTATGGCAAAAATGAGTCAATTATTTATGAAAACATATTGAAATACAATTTATTTAAAAACTATGCAAATTGGATACAAATTTAGGAAACAAATAGTTATATAATGCTTAACATTTTTTTTTATTATCTTTTTGAATAATTTTTTCTTTCAAAAAATGTGTGCAAATGGAATAAAACCATGTGCAATTTTTATTTTAAAACAAATTTGAGATTTGGACGGGATATACATTCAAAATTATATTTCGTAAGAAAATTGATTCATCTTTGATATTTAACGGCAAACCTTATCCAATTATTTTAGAAAAAAATCAAATCAATTTTAAAATCGTATGCAACTTTTGGTAAGTTCATATCATATTTTTTTTGTTAAGTTCATATCAAATTTTTAAGAAAGAAACTGTTGCATAAATCTTAACAAAATATACTAATTTTTTTATTAAACTAATTTCAATTCAATTTGTTTGGTAAAAAAAAAAAAAAACAGTGCAAGGTTAAAAAAATTCGGTTGCATTTTTTTTTTTAAAAAAATTGATGATTTCACTTTGTTTTAGCCAAATATTTGGATCAATTTGTTTGAGAAAAAAATTGTGTATTGATAGGAAATACGGTTTCATTTTTAGGAAAAACTAATGATTCTTTTTAATTTTTCTTAAGCAAATTTTTTGAATTAGATTTAAAAAAGATGGTGTGAAAATCCCTCAAATCTCTACTTTTTTTTTCTACTAGATTTTTTTAATAAAATTAAGATCCCTTAATATTTTTTTAAAAACGTTATTTGTTAACTAACAACTAATAGAACACAATTTTAGATAAAATTTGAACACCCATTACATAATAAAGTTTTCATTGATATATAAATTTCATTTTCATGAAAATTTTTAATGTCATGAGACAATTTAAATACAAAAATACCTTTCTAAAAGTAGGTATGTAATAAACGCTCCCGACATACTGTACTAGTTAAGTAGTTATCTTAAAAATGACCATAAATGTCTAGTACATTATGGCTATTCCAAACCTAATTATTTTTTTTTATGAGTTATATGTTAAAAGACAAGTGCTAATTAAAGGAAAACTTCTGCCTTTCTTCCTCGCGACCAGATCCCCCAAAACCGCTCGTCCTCGGCGTCCATCAATTCCTCCCAGATTTGCTCCCTCAGCCGTCGTCCAGGCTCGTCGGTAGACAGCCTCCACCACTCATCCACGGCCGATGCACTCTCGCCTTCCTCCTGACGCCACTAGGTAAGGGCTAGCAGGGGCGTAGCCAGGAAATTTAATCACCCTGGGCTGATCAAGTTGACGAAAAAAAAGAGTAAAAAATGTCTAACTAACGCTTAAAATGTTTGTATTGCTTTGTTGTTTTGTTTTATATTTCCATTTGTCCGAGGCAATATAATTGAATATTTTATTAATGATCTTCATCGATTTATATTTTTTTTTAAATAATTATGAATTTTAGAGAAGTAAAATTTGATTGTAGAAAAAATAAAAATATTAATAAAAAAAAAATAAATGGAGTAATATTCATTATAATTATTACTTGGTGAAATAGTTAATAAAAAACCATTCAATCAAAATCTTCTATCAAACTACCTCATGGATTTAGCTCC